ACATTGGCAATGATTATACAAGATAATCCCCTAGGGAGGCGCGAAGGTCGTAATTGAAGCCAAATTGCTTCAATTTTATCATCATGTAGATCTTCTAAAACGGTATACTTCAGCCCTTTCTTGATGTAGGTACAAACGCCTCCGTGTGTAACGTCTATCCTGTCTCTTCTTACTAAGTTATACCCAGGAATACAGACGACATTGTCGTGAATGTGGTCGCGCAACCAGGTCTCTGTTATGCAGGCAATGTCCAAGTTTGCATTTGTAATAACATCAGAGACTTCATCCACTTTGGGGGCCAAAGACATTACGTTCGACAATAAAACAGACGGAACGTAGACTTTCCTCGCTCCTTGTTGGTTTTGTTGTGATGGAGAAATGGTTATACAATTAGCCATGTTTCGGTGTCGCCGGGAGCTTCGTGAATGATTGATACGGTTGGTTAACTGCACTTCGATGGGATAGTGACATCTGTTTGCTCTTTCCCTCACTCGGCGGCCGGCTCTTATCCCTCTAAAATAGGGCCACATGCGCCTAACATCCTTGCAAAGATTTCGAAACTGATAAAACTCCATAAGACTTAAAAATAAAAACAAATTTCCAATAAAATTAGAGGAGCCAAAAAGTGCAGCCAAGCACGGCGCATTTACATATCTGCAACGACCTTGAACTCTTAACTTGTGGTGTTTATGAATGAAAAATGAATTTTCTTAGGGAAAACGAAGCTGATTTTGAGTGCTCCTTTGATTGTAATGACAATGGTGAGTTACAAAGTATTTTTGACTATTTTATTCAAAAGCTGGGGGGGGGGGGAGAAACGGGGTGAATGTTCATGTGGTCTCGTGAATAACATGTCAAAGCAGACAAGCAAGAAAAAAACATTAAGTTTTGGGCTTTACGGCGAACTTAGTCACAAATAATTAAAATGTTCTCCTTCCTGTTTAAAGTAAAGAGGTATGACGGGCCATGAAAAGGGATAAACTGAATGGAAATTCTTTCGGTGCATTTTTTTACAAACGTCATTTCAAAAACAGCCAAGACGTTCGTCAGCCAAAAACAGTGGCTGTGGTCCCAGCGGGATGAAAGGGTACAATAAAACGAATTGTCTTGTATACATTAAGTTAAGTTAAGTTTGCGTGGATGAGAGGGAACAATGAAATGAGGTAGTTGTTCAAACTGAGTAGGTCTTGATCTCAATTTAAAGCATGATAAAACAGCCGGTTGAAGAATTAATCTCGATTCCTTTCGCAGGTTCCTTGGACAAAGTACCGAAAACCCGGCCCCAGCTGATCGAGTTCATTCTCAACATGTTGTCCAATCCTTGGTTCTCTTCAATTATGTCCTGGGAGGGGATGGACGGGCAGTTCACTATCATACGCCCTGAACAAGCGGCACAGCTGTGGGGAGAAAGGAATGGCCGAAGAAACATGACCTACCAAAAGTTTAGTCAGGCACTGCGTTATTACTACCACAAAAAAGTGTTGACCAAGAATAGAGGCCAAAAATACACGTACAAGTTCGACTTTCAAGAGCTTGAGCGACAGTATGGATATAGAGGTATATCATCTGTCACTTTTCATCAGCCCACTGGAAACAGCCAATACATGATTCCCTCCTTTACGGCCTGCAATTGTGATGCATTTCCAGCCAGTCATCCCTGGTGAGGTTCTTTCCACAATTTAGGACCACAGTTTGAAACGTGCAGGAAGAGAATCAGACAAATCTAACTTTTTCTCAGTCGTTAAACGTTATATTTTTTTCTGCTCTCTCCGCGCGCGCTTTATCAAGTCAACAGAGTATTTTGGATTAAGGTTGCTTTCGAACCGAATTAACGTTTCCTTTTGGCGCTGACTATCTTTTCAGGTCTGCTCACAGAGCCCCTGATGAGAATGACAGGCCTTCAATCTAAAACATCTGTCTATGTTCCTGTTTACGTTAGTGAGCTCACTAGAACCAAATAACTGTACCATAGCTATTTTATGTCATTGATAAATGCATATTTTCTATTTAATATAGCAAAGTTGTATTGTTAAACCCAATGTACTAATGGTCTTTTCCCCAACAGTTGGTAGTCTACTATCAATGAGCTGTGTGGTCATTGAACTACTGGAGTGGTTATTGATCTGTTGTGTTTATTGAACACTCGTGGGGTTATCCAACTACGGTCATGTATCTCTTTTGAACGGTCAAAATGTCAAAAATAACACAATAATAACTTGAATGCTAGCCTAACAAGGAAAAAATGGAGTCGAAAAAGATGCTTGTCCTCTTCAATCGCAATGATGTGAAAACGTATTTATTTTTTCTGTTCACTTATTTACGTGTCCGTCAAAATGACCATTAAAACTGCGAAAGTTTGTCCGGATAATGTTCACATTGGCCGGACCCATAATTGTCCGTTGACCGGACGTTATTTTGAGTTGTGTTATTCGATTCTCATAGCAACTAAGAAATAGCCATAATACATAAATTCGTAAGTTACCCCGCGAGCCTTCCTTTAAAATGCCAACAGACTTTACAAAACATAGCAACAGATACTTCCTTGTTTTTAAAACACATGCACAGCCCTGGGATAAGGGTCAAAATATGTACACATGTATTCAGTTTCCATGACAAAAATCACCATAGCAATAAACTTAACTACTACAACATAGCTGTCTCCCATTTGTAGATTGGTCAAACCGCTCTTGATGACGACATACATTAGAGTAACAAAAAGATGTTTATTGTCTGTCGCCGATCACGTATGTTGTTACTAAGGATATTTTAGTTTCTGATTGGTCAGTTAAGTATACCAGTAGTGGTTTCAGTGATGAAGTCACTATTTATGACGTCAAATGGGCTGGGTGGCGATAGGGGTTTCACTAAACTGTGATTGGATTATTAAAAGCTGCTTATTTGGACAAGTTACAATATATAAACCCACTGGAAAATATCAACCACTGTATCCATCAACTTGCCACTCATTGCGTGAGTTTATCGTTTAAGCTGAAATGAATTTTCTTGTCGGAAAAGAAGCTGATTTTGAGTGTTCCTTCCATTGCAGTGACGATTGTCAACTAGAAAATGGTGAGTTAACTAGGTTTGGACAAATTAATTGAAAAGCGTTCCTATGNACTGTATCCATCAACTTGCCACTCATTGCGTGAGTTTATCGTTTAAGCTGAAATGAATTTTCTTGTCGGAAAAGAAGCTGATTTTGAGTGTTCCTTCCATTGCAGTGACGATTGTCAACTAGAAAATGGTGAGTTAACTAGGTTTGGACAAATTAATTGAAAAGCGTTCCTATGCCATGCGAAGGGGAAAAAGAGGGCGAAAGTAGGGTAAATTTCCTTGTAATCACGTTAATAGGAACAACCTAGCAAAGCGGGCCACACAGAAAAAGAATGCATTTTAATAGAAAGTTTGCTTTCAGAGCAAGTTGAATCACCGGCCGATAAATTCATTTCCTGAAATAAAGAATATGGACATGAAATTCATACCTTATTATAGGAAATTGACGATGCACTTTATTAACGCAATTATAAAAGAATCGCGTTAATTTAATGCATCTTAATTTTATCGATGTTGATTTAGATCACACTATTTTACATCATTGTTGTTTTATAGCACCTTTATTTCAATAACAAAACCTCGTCTGCTCATATTTCCTCTACCAACGCCTCAGAGTCACTATCTGACAGTTCTTTAAAAATTGAGTTCAAAATGCATGTCTTTTGACTGGTCTTCGTAATGATCCGTTTCCCCGAGGGGATAGCTAACTCTGTCAGTCTTTCTTCTTAAGATTTCCATTTACGTTTATTTTTTTTCCTTTAGATATGTATGCTAAGAACTCTGTATTGCAGCAAATTCGCGAAAAATAAAGTTAGGGCACATTGTTTTTAAAATTCCGCGTTAATTTGATGCATGTAAACCTAACTTTTGGAAAATTCGCGTTAATTTTGTGTAACGTTAATTTTCTTCGCATTGTCAACGTGCATCGTTAATTTTCTATAATAAGGTATATAGGAATTCTGGGATGCAGTATCAAATGTAAAGAAGATATTAGGAGTTACAGACGCAACTTTTGCAGTTGCGAAAAGAAAGCATGAAAGAAAATTCACGTTGGTACGGGATTCAAACCCTCAGGGTCCATTGTTTAAACGAAAACTAAGTTAGACAGCGGTTTAGGAAATCTTTGGACCTTCCTTGGACTTAAGCCGCGTAATGACGGCTTAGTGAAGGTTTAACTTTAATTCGACGATGCTTATGTCCTCTTTTATTCCTTTGTGATTTTGTTCTAGTAAAAAGGTTTTTTTTTACTCCAATAATATGACCCGCTTAGTACAGACATCCCGTTAATACGGACACTTTCTGTAATGCCTTTAGTGTCTGTATTATCGGGGTTTGACTGTAGCAGGCATATTGTTGTTGTTGATGTTGGTGTTTAGTTCAGTGTTCAAATCCTCAATTAAAAGCACCGTAAAACAGCCTCAGTGGACTAACTTTTAATCTCAATTACTTCGAAGGATTGGTGGACAAAATGTTAAAAACCCGGTCCCAGCTGCTCGAGTTCATTCTCGACGTGTTGTCCAATCCTTGGTTCTGTTCAATTATGTCCTGGGAGGGGATGGACGGGCAGTTCACTATTATACGCCCTGAACAAGCGGCACAGCTGTGGGGAGAAAGGAATGGCCGAAGAAACATGACCTACCAAAAGTTCAGTCGGGCACTACGTTATTACTACCACAAGAAAGTGTTGACTAAGATTAGAGGCCAAAAATACACGTACAAGTTCAACTTTCAAGAGCTTGAGCGACAGTATGGTTATAGAGGTATATCATTTGTCACTTCGCATCAGTCTACTGGAAACAATCGCTTCAGGATCCCCCCTTTTATTCCTGCAATTCAGTTCAGTTCCATGGTGAGGTTCATTCAACACTAAATACATGGCGGGCCTGTTGAGTACTATTCTCATTCACACTTCTTCGAGGGTCTGAATGGGGTTAACATGGGGGTTAATAAGTTAATATGAATCATTAACTTATTAACTGCATGAGATTTACCGACAACCGACAAAGATCAAAAAACGTGTTTAATAGGGAGCTCAAGGAACCACCAAATAACATCGGTGAAAACGTCACTTAAAACATTTACTTGCGTTTTTTCTCACTTTTCTGCGTATTTCAGAAGTCTGATATTAACGAGGTTTTGGTGTCTACAGTGTATGGTTTGAATCAATTAAGAATGCTAAAGTACAGTGGAAACTCTCTTCAGGGGATTATTCAGGGGACACCCTCGTTTACCAAGGAAAATGTCCCATGAATAGAGGTTGTGCTGGGTTTTTTTGAGTGCCTCGGAATCTGCTGCAGACATTATTTCAAACAGCTAGATGTATACAAAAAACTATCATTGACTTGTTTATGCGATAATTATTTTGTGTTGAATTCCTACAAGGGTAGTACAACGATTTAAGTGAGATGCTGTGAAATCTGTCACCATTGTGACAAGTGTACACTTTCCAACCCTTCTTGTGGTCAGCCACGTTCTCAGTGTTAAGATGTCCTCTGATTAGAGGTTAAACCCGGGTTTTGGGAACCAAAAGTAGTGTTCCCTTCCCATGAATAGTGCGTGGTTTCCCTTCAAAAGAGGTCACAAAAACAAAAGATTATGAGAACATTTTTCTCTTTTTTTTCTATTGTTTTTCTTGTGTTTATAGGACGTTCAGACTCTATATTTTTTACTTGATAATGACGTCCGAGAACCTCGAAACATCGTGTATTTTTTAACTTTTATAAAAATTTCTTAAATGTTTTAAGAAACGTTTTTACGCAATTTTTTATAGCTAAAAGTTTTAAAAAGTCGCTTCCTTTTGAACATTTTTCCGGGACCAAAATTTGGGTCCCTTGAAATGAAGTGTCTCAAGGCGGTTCCCCTGTACCACCCGATAGAGCAACCTCTTTCCCTCTCTCCCCACCCCTGTATCCAAAAGGGTTTCCCGATGTAACATACATGTTAAACTTTTGCTTTGCCCTGTTTCTCTGAACTGCTTGTTTGATATGGTGGCTAATAGTTCAGTTAAATATTTAAGATTGTGTAAATGATTACTATCTTGTAAGATGGTAGGAAGAATATACAAATCAACTCTTACACTTCTTACAAAGTATTTGCTTGTGTTGACAAAATATAGGTTTTATTAACGTTAAGGTGGCTCGACCCAGTATTTTTGTAGGTGTACTTTCCATCTTCGAATCTCTTAGACTGAAACAATCTTATCTTTATCGTAAAACCTTTATAACACATGTATTGCACACAGACTAAATTTGATTATGATATTATTTTTTGGATGATCGGAATATCACGTGACAATGACGTTACAATAGTTTCGGCTCTAAGTCGAATTGCAGCCCTTACCAGCATTTTCTTCAGAAATACTTTACGCTACAGATACTTTGGGTGGTTGTCTTCTGTTCTGCAAAGTTTCACAAAAATTAACCTATAAGAGGAATTTCGAGAAATCTTGAAATTTCTACAAAAAGGGCATAAAATATTCATGAATTGAAGACTGGACTTAATGCAGACAAATTTGCTACTTTTTTTCTGTTTTTTTTTTTCCGAAATATTTTTATCACCCATCCGTTCTATACATGACCCTCATACACTCTACAGCCGGCTAAACGCAAGCAGACTTGCGCGATTTCGAAAAACACGAAAACATGTAAATCAAAAAATTTTGTAATTTCAAAGGCTACTTTGACGACAACAACGACTCAACTCAAAACTCGTAACTCAAAAACAATCGGATATTTAATGTTTTTAATCACATTATTAGCCTTGCAAATTGTTCTTGACTTAAACCTAAATATAATATCAGTAACGTCTTAACAGGCCTGATTACTGAGGCCAGGTTCCTGGACCAAACGGAGCTCGTAAAAACAAAATAAAATGGCCGCAGAATCGCGAAGTTAAAGGGAATATTTTAAACCTTATTTCGTCCAGCATGAGGTTTGCTTTTATGATTAAGAAGATAAATTTTAATTGTACTGTAATTTGAAGTCAATTTTCACAGCTGTTCCTGTATTTTTTTTTGTATTAAAAATGTGCTTGTCGTAAGGACAAGTTATATCAAAGGTCTACGTGTCCGAACTAAATTTTTACCGGTCCTGGACAATCGGACATAGGTTTCTGAAGAGTTGCTCATGTACAATGCCAATATATTTACAAAGAATTTTAATGTAAAAAGAAAGCTTTCTCAGCTAGTAATCATTGTTGGGTATGTCCTACAAAGTCCGGTGCTCGTTGCTGTCTTCTGGCTGCTAGTCGCTTTCTAAGATCTCGGACCTCGGCCATAAGTTCAAGTTCACGCTTTTCAAACGTTTCTCGCTGGCGTTCAATCGACGGTTCTGAAAGACCAAAGCGAGGATAAAACGTTTCTTTGCGAAAAGATCCACACTCGTGCTTACCAATTAAAAGCACAAGAGAAAAACTTAAAGAATTTTAGTCTTAAAAGGATGGCTTTGCAAAAATACTTTACTACATGTACTACACCTCTTTGTTTCCAAAGTTATGTACGATCGATTTGCATCATAAATAACGATTTTACTCGCTTTGTCTGAAGTCTCTAAACGTTACAGTAAATACAGGTTGAACGATGCGCCAATCCGCAATTGGCGATTCCGTATTTCTTCAGTTTTTTACCTTAAGGTTTTTTTACTCCAATACAAAAAGATTTGGCGACGTTAGGAGTACTAAAAATTTCCATAGCACGTTACTTATAACTAGTACTCACCTTTAGAACTGATCGGAGTTCCACTCGTCTCGTCCCCGTCCGTAGTTGAGCTACTGTCCGTGTTACTGGGTTGGATAGCACTTAAAGGTCTCCTAGGCTCCACGGGAACTTGACGAATGTCCCTCAGGCGAGCTAGGTTAAAGACACTGGATCATTATAAGTTTCTAGGAAACTGCGCACCTACCCCTCCCCTAAGACAACATTAACACTTACTTTTCACTTCGGGCAAAATGTTGACTTAGGGGAGGGGAATCCAAGACATTCAGGGCTATGAGGAATAACTGCCCTCCGTTAGTAGCTAGCCACTTCTTCGCCTGTTGTTTCACGTTATGGGTGTGAAATACAGTAGCAAACTATTTTCAAAACGTCGGCGAGTGTCTTATCTGTGGGCCTGCAAGTGCCCCCCTCCACCCAAATTTTGCATAAACTATTGGTTTCATATCCTCTTGGCAGGACTGCATATTCCCAAAAACATTTGAAAACTAATGCAAAATTTGGGCTGCAAAAAGAGTGTGAGTGTACGGCGGGGGATTCGAAAATAGTCCATCCAAGTTTGCCCATAAGGCCGCCCCTTACGATACAACTTTGTGCTATGTAAGTGCGACGTGTCTGATAAAGCCTAAGATTTGGATTGCGTATAAAAGGAAACTATGACACTTAAAAGCCAGTGTTACAATTCATTAATGCGATAGACTGGCACCCTGATTGCCAGCATAACGCATGCAGGTTACTCTAGGAACAACTGCCTTCTGGGGTACCTTTAACTAACTGCACGCTTAGCTAACCTGAGATCAGGCCCAATTTTAGCGGTTCTCTTACATTCTCTCTAACGGCCAGCGCTAAAATTGGGCTCTCTTTTCGTTTCGCCATGCCCGCCGGAATATAATTTTCAAAGCGAAACGAAAATAGAGCCTGATCTCAGGTTACGCTTAGCTAGCTGTACTTACAGAAGGACTCTGAATCATCACTTGTTGTGGTGTAATCCCGCTGTAAAGCGTTCAGTAGATTCATGCGCCTCCTGTCCTCTTCGACAGTTAGAGCTTTCTGCTGTCTCAGCTCAGACTGTTTGGCGGCGACTGTGTCATTCTATAAGGGATTTTACGATAGCCTGCATGAGTATCAGACGTTTCTGGGTAAAAAGGAGAAGAAAGAAGCGACAAAGGGAAACAGCTTCTCTTCCCCACGCTCCCGCCGCTTAGATCTCTCTTCCCTAACCCCCAAGGGATATCTGGGCTAGGCAATCGATGAAACACGTGACCTAAATTATGATAGATTTATCGTGTGAATTAGCTCCACTAAGCAGCAAGTCAACGAAAAATAATTCAATCGAACGTAGGAAAGAGCACTGTTTGACTACCCACCTCTTTATTCCGCAGCTCATGAACAAGTGATTGAATTTCATTCTCTCTTTCCTTGTTCTCCAAAACTTGCTGAGCAACCTGAGGTAACATAAACAAACAAAAAATTAATAAATAATTTAAAGCATGTAGGTTAAAAAAAATCTCACTCGCTCTCAACAGAGAAACCGTGGGTTTACCTCGGTGTAAAAACCTGTGAAGGTTTTCTTTGTTTTCTAGCTATTATTTTCCTTGGCTCTATTGTGTTGACTTCTCAGCAGCTTCTTGGTATTCAGTGTTTTACGTCACTCGTGAGTTTCACAGGTTTTTACACCGAGGATGAGACGAAACCGCGGTTATTTCAACATAACCTTCAACCAGTTCTTCGAACGCAGGTAAGGCCCACGCAGACACGAATTTATATTAGCCAACTGTTTATGTTCTTGGAAGCAATANCCGCAGCTCATGAACAAGTGATTGAATTTCATTCTCTCTTTCCTTGTTCTCCAAAACTTGCTGAGCAACCTGAGGTAACATAAACAAACAAAAAATTAATAAATAATTTAAAGCATGTAGGTTAAAAAAAATCTCACTCGCTCTCAACAGAGAAACCGTGGGTTTACCTCGGTGTAAAAACCTGTGAAGGTTTTCTTTGTTTTCTAGCTATTATTTTCCTTGGCTCTATTGTGTTGACTTCTCAGCAGCTTCTTGGTATTCAGTGTTTTACGTCACTCGTGAGTTTCACAGGTTTTTACACCGAGGATGAGACGAAACCGCGGTTATTTCAACATAACCTTCAACCAGTTCTTCGAACGCAGGTAAGGCCCACGCAGACACGAATTTATATTAGCCAACTGTTTATGTTCTTGGAAGCAATACGCGAAAAGGGCAGCTACAGACAAATTCTTACCCAAAATAAACTTGCTAGGAAATTTTGTGCATTTAAAACAAACTCTTACCATTGATTAATTTAACCTTGCTTAAAGCAAGCTAGAGCAATAAACGCCCTGCTCATACTTCACCATTGCTCCTAGAGTCGTTATTTAATGATTTATATTCTTGGTTTGCCGCCACGTGACAAGGAGATCATGGTGGGGGTCAAAACAATAGAATTTTTTCTTGAAGAATTTACGTGAAAATAGAGTCTAGTTCCCAGAGGAGAGAAATACTTTTGTTCTTCACCAACAACATGTCCGCCGTGACGTCACGTGCAAACCAGCAATACTGATCAGTGGGGTAGATAACGGTTCTGGAGACCAAGTCAAACAGCGCGAACTCATTCTAATAGTCTGTTCCCGGCGTTCAGACTGTGGGGACGGCGCAAAAAGAAGTGAGAAACACTATCTCAACGCCTGGAACAAGCTAAATGCCAAGATGAAAAAAAAAAAAAGACTTGATTCTACCTGCATACTGTACTCAGATAAACGCAAGTCTTTATACGCAATTTTGTGAAAATCGCAACACAATAAATCCCCAATTGTAAAAACCCGTCGGTTACGTATACGAAAAATAAGTTCCTTAAAGACAGAAAATGCCTATACGCAAAAATTAAACCTCAGCAAAAATTTAAGGTGCACTTTTTTTTAAATTTTGTATTAGTATTTTTCACTGATTTGAGTGAAATTTCTCGTTGTTTGTTGTTGTTGTTGTTCTTGGAGGCGGTGGAAATCTTCGTTATTTAACACTCACCCTAACTTCACTAAGCTCTCGATTAAGATCGTCCATTCTGGTTCTGAATCCAACTTCTGCCTCCATGTTGACATCAGCGTGTGTCTGTTGAGCTTTGGCTAACTCCTGCTGGGAAATCTGATTGAAAACAAATCATATTGGTCTTTCTTAACTCTGGCACAGACATTCTTTGCCGTAGGTTATTTGCTAACTCTTTACGTTTCTGACCTTGCAGTTACTCTAAAGAACCATTTCTTTCAAATTTCAGACTATTCAAATGTATAAGAATGCAGAATTTATAAAGAGACAAAGGGAAATTCACTTAAGGACATCACGTGGTTCAAAAACTCATAAGGGGTTGAAACGTGTAACTTGCGTTCAATGCTCGTGAATATTCATTTTTCTAAGTACGATATTTGGAAACCCTCGCTGCAGCCTCAAAAATACAATCTGCACGTGCATCGCGCTTTTTTGTACATTTCTTTGCCGCCACCGCAAGACTACGACGTGAAAGTGCCTATTTTCACGTTTTGTGGAGGGCCAAAAAACAAGACAACGACTTTCTTTTTCTTTTCCTGAACTTCGATGCAGTCATATGAGAGTTACACGTTTCTGCGCGGTCTGAAAGGGAAAAGAGAAGCCCTGAGGTCGAAAAGACTGTAGGTCACCCACTGGGCCATTATTAGAGCCTTTAAAAGTTATAAAGAATACGTTTTATACAAAATACAGTTTATTTGTTCACTGGAAATTTTTTTTTTTACATATTTTTTATATTTCATTTATTTTCTCCATTTATTTTATTTTACAACCCATTTACATTATATTACAGATTTGAAGATATTATTCTTATATTATTCTTAACTGGAAATTCACCTGTACCTGTTTGAAATCGACCCATTAAACTAAATAATAAAAAAGCTTAAGTGTATAAGATTGTACAAACAGCAGGCAGTCTCTCAAGAAGAATAATGGCTTTATTCCGGAAAAAAGAGCAAATAGAACCGACTCTAGATGGATCTAGTACAACATAAAACGTTTTCAACCGTCGGCCCTTTCTGGCATACAATATTCTGTTATGCGTGCCATCCTAGCTGCTCCAAAATCCTACCAAAAGAAGTTGTCGAAATTCTTCTCTGCTTCCCTCTACCTTAATGGGACTTAACATTGTAGCATGAGTTAGGTACTGTATATATTTACCCTTTGTGAATCAATGTCGACCTCCTGGACAGCGTCCATGGTTCTTTTAAATAGCTGACCTTCCAAACATTGCGTGAGTTTATCGTTTAAGCTGAAATGAATTTTCTTGTCGGAAAAGAAGCTGATTTTGAGTGTTCCTTCCATTGCAGTGACGATTGTCAACTAGAAAATGGTGAGTTAACTAGGTTTGGACAAATTTATTGAAAAGCGTTCCTATGGCATGCGAAGGGGAAAAAGAGGTCGAAAGTAGGGTAAATTTCCTTGTAATCACGTCAATAGTAACAACCTAGCAAAGCGGGCCACACAGAAAAAGAATGCATTTTAATAGTAAGTTTGCTTTCAGAGTAGGTTGAGTCACCAATAAAATCATTTCCTTGAAATAAAGAATATGAACATGAAATTCATACCTTATTATAGGAAATTGACGATGCACTTTATTAACGCAATTATAAAAGAATCGCGTTAATTTAATGCATCTTAATTTTATCGATGTTGATTTAGATCAGACTATTTTACATCATTGTTGTTTTACAGCACCTTTATTTCAATAACAAAACCTTGTCTGCTCATATTTCCTCTATCAACGCCTCAGAGTCACTATCTGATAGTTCTTCTTTAAGAATTGAGTTCAAAATGCATGTCTTTTGACTGGTCTTCGTAATGATCCGTTTCCCCGAGGGGATAGCTAACTTCGTCAGTCTTTCTTCTTAAGATTTCCATTTACGTTTATTTTTTTTCTTTTAGATCTGTATGCTAAGAACTCTGTATTGCAGCAAATTCGCGAAAAATAAAGTTAGGGCACATTGTTTTCGAAATTCCGCGTTAATTTGATGCATGTAAACCTAACTTTTGGAAAATTCGCGTTAATTTTGTGTAACGTAAATTTTCTTCTCTTTGGCAACGTGCATCGTTAATTTTCTATAATAAGGTATATAGG